AACTTCTTCAGAAAACTTCCTTGAACTAATCGTAAATCCAAAATTTTTTGGGGACTTAGGGTTTGAAATAAAATTAAAGTTTCGAAGGAAAGGGATTGGGTGGTTGGGTCGCGCGACGAGTTTCGTGGGAGAGTGAGGGGATCGGTGGTTGGGACGCGCGACAAGTTTTATGGGAGAGGGAGACGCGAAAAGGGGAGAGTTGATGCTGGTGCCGGAGGAGGGTGGTCTGGCACGACCAACGCCAGGGGGCAGAGTGGTTGGGGCTGACAGGAGACTGGGGCTGTTGAGATTTTTTAAAAAAAAAAAAAATTGTTTTAGAATAATTAAATTATTCAAAAAATTACAAAAAAACTAACCATTGTTAAATAAATTATTAAATTAATTAGTATTGTTACCATTGAATTGATAAAAGGTAATACAAGAGTACCAAAGATAATTAAAATTGTTGTTGTTCACCATTGAGAAAAATAAAAAATTAAAGAGCACCATTGAGAATTTCCCTAGAATATAAGTCCAAATTGGGTGATTTTTGTGACTAAACTCAAGGATTTTTCAAGAGGAACAACGTTTTGTGAATTAGTAAAATGCTAAAAATGAGCATAACTTTAAATATGTACGAGCTGATTATTCCACAAAAAAGGTTAAGAAAAGTAAGAAAAAGTTTAGAGAAAAAAAATTAAAAGAAAATATGATTATTATAAATATACTTATATGAGAATTATCTAAAATTTAGAACATGTAAGTAAACATTACCAAACTTTACTTTATGAAATTTGAAACATTTGATTTAAGATTTGAATATGTGAATAAAAATATAGAACACGAGTAAAATTCAAACATATGCTTTAAATTTTATTATATAATGATTAATATGATATAATTATATCAAAAAATCTAAAACATGATCATTTTTATTAAACCGAAAATGATTAATTTTGACTTACACGGTAAAAATATTGTAAAAAGCTAACATATTTCAAAATAATTAATTAAAAATTTATTTCAAAAGATAAAATCACTTTGAAAATCAGAAAAATAATTGTTATACTGAATAGTTTAATAAAATTTGGAATATAATTAGGTAATAATTTATGGCTTTAAAAAAATAATGAATTATAAAATTATACATTTGTTGTAAAATAAGGAGAAATATAAAGATTGAGAGGGAATTGAAATGTCTATTCTACTTGTATTTCATATGATGGAGGTATACATATATATATATATAGTACAATAATTGATCGAGTTTGCTTAGAGAATAATAAACCCTAAGCTCTAGAAAATTCTAGAGTGATACAAGATGGACATCCATAAATATGTTTAGATCAGAATAAATCATATATCTTGAATATTCCGGAATGATATAAGTAGCATAATGGTCATCCACACGATATTTCATAACACTCCCCCTTGGATGTTCATTATCGAAGACTGTGCCTCGTTAAAACCTTATTAGGAAAAACCCCGTGGGATAAAAACCTAATGAAGGAAAAAGAGTACAACATTCTTCGTAATACGCTCGAGATGCTGCCTCATTAAAAACCTTACCAGGAAAACCCAATGTGGGACAAAACCATGGTCAAGGAAAAAAGAGTGCAGCGCGTATTTTCTCCCGCTGATGAATACATAACTTGAGATCTTCTAGTGCCACAACAATGATTCCAATATGTTTGGATATCTTTTCATATGTAGTAAGTAAAATATCATACGTTGATCTTCGAATCTCCTAAGCTGAAGTTGCATCTTCAATTCTTCAAGTCTTCACCTGAACATGTGAAGTGTCTTCATTTCACCATACATGTGTTTATCTCTAATATCACCATTCCAAATCTCTATTTAATAGTTGATTAAAAAGGTTAAACTCATGCGGTTATGACTTTTTCTGGAAGTCATTAATAATAAATATTGGTGATCATTATTTGATTTTACATTCATTAATAATAATTTGATGACAAAACTTGATAATATTAATGTCATTCTTCAATCTCATATGAATTATAATATAACATATGTAATTATGTACGCTAATCATGGTTCTTCTGGACCATGAGAAAACATTCTCGCGCATAAGTATTCCATTGATATTATTTAGATGTTTCATGATTGATAGGAGCTCTCTTGTAAATACAAATAGTAAATCTTACTAACTCTCATATGTTCAAAGTTCAGGTTGAGATGTTAATAATGTAGTCACATAGACTTTTCAAGAGTTTGATAATAATTGCAATATTCAAGACATAAAAATTTGTAGGGTTGGGCATTTAATACGTCGTATATAAGTTTTTTTAGGAACTCCTTTTACATGATTCATAACATGTTATTAAATAAGTGTCATCAATAATTTCATTACAATTATAAGCCCATTGGAATATAAATATCTCTTTCTAATTTTTCATCAAAGTTGTAAATATGTCTTACTATACTTTGAATGAACATTCACATACACCACAACCATTGTAAGAAATTAATCCATGCAATATGAGATATATAAAACATGATAATATATAAAAAAAATTATACAATGAGTAATGCATCTAACTTCCTACATATGCAATAAACCATTAACCTATGACTCACATACACATGAATATAAGACTCAAAATGATACAAGACATGGTACAGTGTGGATTTTAAATTCCATATTTCATTGGACTTCGGGTCCATGATAAACTTATGATCATTGTCATTATGTCGACATCAAAATGTACATATATTTCAGATCCCTTATTTATTAGTCCATTCCATTATGCATATGCATATTATTCATCGGTTCCATTATGTACCGGTATCATAAAATTCCTTTAACTTACATTTCGCATGCTATTTTACTATGATATCTGAATACATTTCTCATTGTACCACCATAAATTTTCTTACATCATAGGCCATCTATTATAATAATTCAGATATATATACCTCTTTTAGGGTATTTCATACACTATGGTATTTATATACTATTACACTATTAGTGTCAACTGCACTATCTTGCCAAATATCATATTTATTAAACATATCTTTATTTTGGAACCAATCATATACAACCTACACTTCAGGTGTAGTGATTCAAGTACAATTGACAAGATTTTATCTCAATGTATACACATAATTAATATGACCAAAATGTATCTTCAACGCTATGCAACATGAGTCATAACTGAATACAAATAAAATCATAAATGTGCAACATATCTTGATAATATATATACAAAAGTTGGCATATGTATAACTTTTCAAACTACCATTATAGGGATCATAAATATTCTTTATTTATTTATTTTTTTCGATTTTCCCAACTTTTGCTATTTCTTCTCCCCCTAAGTTGGTAAAATATCTCTTTTATAGGGGCGTCTAATTCTATACCAACTTAGTATATAAATTTGCATTAAAATTCAAATCATTGGGAGGATCACAATCAAAATTTATCTCTTCTGGAGAACAATTTCGATGAAGAATCATTTATTCATTAACTTTATATTTCATGTGTATTTATTATTAAATTTTCAATAATATTACTCTTCTGGAGATCAATGTCAATGGGGAGACATGTGTTGTACAATTGTACGTTTTTCTTTCTTCTCCTATTTCATATGTGCTGACATATAATAGCCTCAATCAAAAAAATTGTTATACAAGCATAAATCACTTGCTCGTTATTCTAGTAGGTGATGATCTTCTGGATCTTTAAAGACTTAAATAGTGTATTTGGTGAGCTTCTGATCACTTGATAGTTGACAATAATATATAAGTTATTTTGGTGAACTTCTGGTCAGCCATTACTTCTTTATAAGCCATTACTCCTTTATATAAAAAAATCAAAACATATTAAATCTTGAAATTTTCATCAATACAAATTATTATAACTCACAATCCAAATATAACTCAATCTCAATGTTACGTCTTGCCATTCAATTCATTTTATATATTTAACATTGAGAAAGCGTCAGCACATTATCAAATGAAACTTCAGGTTTCCATTACAGATAATAATTATTAAACCCGGATGACCTAATTTAATTATCACATCCAATCACTTCTCTAAATTTGAACTCTGTGATATGATATTAGAACACCAACATGTGTTTCTTTATACAATTGGCAAGATAATCAACTAATTAATATTTTATCTAATAATTACTTATATATACTCTTCTAGAGTTTTGACTATAATCTTGATACATGTTAATCTTGTTGGACATTTCATATTCTTCTGGAGTCTTTTACATAATCATGGAACATATGAATCTTACTAAAAGTGATTTTATTCTAAAAATGTAATGAGATTTATCATTTCCTCAAATTTGTCATCATTGTAAATAGGTGCTCCATTCCTTTTCCAAAAATTCTTATATTTTAACTCTTTTAGACTGCAACACTTCAGACGTGCTTTAGGTTCATTAGTAACCGATATTGTCCTTCTGGGACAATAATTTAATTGGAGCATTTATGATTAGTATATGACCAATCATTTATATCCATCTTCAAGATGGTATCATTTAAAAATATTTAAATAATATGCATGTGGCCACTTCTATTAAGTATATAGTTAATATTTGAGTTAATGTATATTCTAAACTGACCATCAATATATTTTATTATTTTTATATGCAAGAATTACATACAATCTCCCCCTAATCCTTGATATGGGGGTATGAGAATGAATCAATTCAACAACCTTTAAAATCCTTTGGCAATGTCATGTATCAAGTAATGTGTTCCTTTTAGCAAAAACATGCTTATATAAAATCACTACACCAAAAACTAGATTAGAGATCGCAAAATATAGAACGGTTATCAAAGGTAGGCGTTCTCCAGAAGAATATAGACCGTTTTAATATAAGAGGTGTTCTGTATGTTAATACATATGAAACAGTTAGCATAGTTAACCGTTCTCTATTTCTTTTTACTCAAATAATTAAAAAAAAATTATATATTATAAATTATATAGAACGGTCATCTTGACAATCGTTTTGTATTATATTAATTAATTTTTTTTTAATCAGGAGGAAATTACATACGGAGTAATAATTTACCCAAATTATCAAATTAAGGCGGATAAAAGTGAAAATTGAAGGCATGAAGCCCGCATCACTTACACTTTCATGAGTTTCATCAAAAAGTGAAACCTTTTTCTCATTTATCAGCAAAAAAAAAAAAAGTGAAACCTCCATCAAACCTCCTTAGCAAAACCTTCATCACCGCTTATTGTTTAGCTCCACTGCCGCTCTACTGCTGCTCCACCACCGCTCTACCGCTGCTCCACCGCCGCTCTATCGCCGCTCCACTTCTGCAGTACCGGACCTGTCTGCTGAGCCACAAGTAAATTGAGGTTCGAATTTTTCTCGTGATATAGTAATTGGATTCTGATAATTGTCAATCTAATTGCATGAATCATTCACATTATGTAGGAAACAGAGGTAAATTCGTAGAATTCAAGTTTTAGGTGATTGAAAAAAACTTCAAAGTTCTTGTTTTAGGGATAATTCATCGATTGTTTGTATGTATATATTTAAGCCGAATTATTGCATTAAGTTCAATCAAATTATCCTTAATTTTGTCGAATTTACTTTTATTTCAATTGTAATCAAAATTATTTTTGCCAAATTAATCTTACCTAAGTTCAATTTAGAACCCTAATCAGATTTTTTTTTTTTAAAAAGGAACAAAGAGATAGGACTTAAAACAGTGAAATAAATATACAATTTTTGGTTTTGGTTCAGTGGTGGTAATATATATTGTTGGTAGAATTGATGAGGATATGGTTGAGCCCATTTTGTGAATGAGGTTTGTTTGAAAACAAAATGTTGGGGTTTTTGTGTTTACATCTGCTTTTGAATATGATTTAGAGTCTACATAGACTTGCTATTTTACCTCTTCTTTGGCTGAATATTCATCTGCATTTAAGGTCAGACAAAATTAAATATAGAGTTTGATGCCCAATGGAACATAAAATGGTAAGTAGAAAGCAAACCAAAGAAGGGGTTATAGGCTAAATATTCTACTTGAACTAACCTATGACAAGAAAAAAAAATTCAAAGGAGTTGTAGTGCTAATTAAGCTAGTTTACATTGACATTTCGAGGGTATTTTGATCAACTAGGTAATTATCAACTACTACTATTGACATTGGGATATAATTCTTCATTATCTTCAACGGTTATATATGAGCTACTTTTTGTTGTAGAAAAATTTTGTCGGTGAATTAATGAAATGTACTAGTATATATGTTCTATTGTCCAAGTAGTAGCAATTAAGGTGTTTTTTTTTTCTTGACTAAACTGGTACAAAGCTGGAAACTACTGTATTTCTGAATAATAAAACTGAGTACTATGTTATCTTGCTTTTGATTTTCTTAATAAATTGTATTTGTAACATTCTATTTTATGAACTTCGGATACGGTACGGGTACAATTAGTATGTGTGTTCTGGTTTACAGGTGAATGTACCAATTTTTATTATAATTGCTTATCAAACTAATCAAGTAATTAGTTGATCATTTTTTTTATTGCTAAACTTACTAGTTGCTGATTGAGACATTCGAAGAATCCTTTTAGTCTGCAGTTGGTCCAAGTTTAGCTTGAGATTTTAGCACCTTAGCTAGCAATAAACAAACTAAACCCCAAATGCCCTGCCCTGCCCCTACCCCTACCCCTACCCCTACCCCTGGATTTTCCCGTGTCGTACATTTTCACGTATCTTCTATAAAATTCTTACCCGTCGTAGTTAATTTTCATGGGAGAATATTTTGCACTCTTCTTTTTCCATATGTTTAGACAAATCATTAGATTAATTAAGAGTATTATCTTGGCTTATTATCCATTTGAGCAAGGTGTTACAGTCTTACGGAGACAAAATAATAATGTCGGATAGTAGAGTAAGTACAAGTACATAATAGGAGTACATGTGAAATAATCTCTCGCAAATTGATGCAAGCATTGTGGTCTTGACTAGATTCTTGTTGCTATTAATAGGAAAGAAAGATGCTGCTGCTTCCTCTTCTGTTCTTCAGTTGTTGAAGTTGTTCTATTTAATTGAATTTTTAACTACTTTATATCTGTTTTAAGCAATTATCTTAATTAAAATATCAAATTAATTAATTTCCCTGCAACTTGTTCTATAGAATAGGTAGGAAGGTTTTTACTCTACTGTTTTGAGTTGTCAGTCGTGTTTTTTAATTCTTTTATCAATAATTTCTTACTTGTATTTTTTTATTTCTGATAACTTTTTCCTAAAAGTTCGTTTGTTTTTAAGTAGTGTGTTTACTCTTGAATGGAGGAAGTTCGGAGATATGCATGAATTAATTGCACTAGGTTATGCAAATCTATTGTGCTACAGGTGTACTATATATTTATATGACATGGATGGGTTGATTATAGGTCATATAAAGTTTATGCCACTAGAAAAATCTGTCAATAGTTCTAATGTGATTCATGTGGTTTGTGGGTGGGTAATGACTTTGAAGAATAGTAAATGTTCGAGGTGAAAGTCAGGTGGTTCAAATCGAGTCATATTCAGGTGATGAATCTTGAACTAAATATTCAATGGAACATAAAATGGTAAGTAGAAAGCAAAACAAAGAAGGGGTTATAGACTAAATATTCTACTTGAACTACCCTCTGACAAGAATAATTTTCAAAGAAGGGGTTTAATTATGCTGGTTAATAATAACCAGTTGTATTCGTTGATCCCCTCGATCGATCATTGCTCTCTATGATTTCTGTTCTCTGAGAAAAGTATGTGCTGTAGTTTCTACTAATTATTTATAAATCATAATATTATAAATTCATGGCTTAGCTAGTAAATTAGAGTATATTAGTAAGTATTAGCATGAAGGTATTCTGGTTTATTTGAATATAATGTATCTCTGATGTACAAAGGTTCCACCTGACATTTCACTAGAATTTATCCTTGTGATTATAAAGCCTGAATATTGGATCACCTTTTTTTTGTTTATAAAGCAGGTCATTATTTCTTAGGCCTCGCTCTCTTGACCTGAATTCTCCATGTTTAAACGTATGTTTGAATGTATCTAATGAGAATGAACTAGTATGTTACCTTCAACTCATAAGCTTCTGGACAGTTTTGAATCGAATTATGGTTGATTAACAACTCATAAGCTTCTGGACAGTTGTGGTTTGCAAAAGATGTTAGAGGTGACTGTTGTGGTTTTTGTCTAAATTTGCTTGTCACCTCCTTGTGATAGAGATGGTTTCTGTGGCAGTGAAGGAGATGGAGATGGTTTAGGCTGTGCTGGCGCCACTCCTGCTGGATGGAAAGGGGGCCGCTATGCAGGTGGCTGAGATGGTACTTGGGTCTCTTGGCTGGGACGTGGAGCAACAGGTGCTTGCTGAGGTGGTAATTGTCTGAGCTGGTGCTTGGGCCACTTGGCTGGAACTGTGTACTAATATCTGCTTGCTGCGTTTTGTCAAAAAAGAAAAAAGATATACTTATTTATATTTAATTAGATGGACTTATTTTATATTATTAACTAATATGTATGTATTTTACATTGTTTTGTAGTATTTTAAGCAAGTTCCTCCTACATATTCTCAACAAATGATCGAGGAGCTTAGGGAAAGGTGGATTGCATATGTTTCCGGAAACCATCAACCAAATGACAACGACGATGATATATGTGAATTGTAGATCAATATGGTATTGATATATTTAAGCATAATTTTTATTAAATCAACATTAATTAGAAAGGTGTTTTGATATTTAACTCACGGATTTGTTTGTATAATTTTTTTTTGTATGAATGATTCAATTTAATTGTGGCTGGATGTTTTAATTTTATATATGAGGTATATTTTGATTGCTTTTGTCGTATCTAGAAATATTTTTGTTAATTTATATTATACAGAATTTATATTGCATGTATACAGGATCATGGATGTATTTTACATAGGTAAAGTGGAATTTTTCTTGCAGGATAAATGTACAAGATAAAATACAGGAATACATACAACAAATACAGGTCTAAAATGAAATACTAAAAAATACAAAATTTCAAAATACAGGAATAATACAATTAAAATACATACAGGGCTAATTCGAATAATCAAATACATATGATCGGATTTTTTTAAAAAAAAAACATTAAAGAACTGTTATCTAACTTAACCGTTCTCTATTGTAATGCAATATAGAACGGTTAAGTAGCCTAAATCGTTCTCTTTTCCTTCCTCAGTGTATGAATTTAAGAAGAGAAAAGAGAACGGTTGTGACTAACAACCGTTCTCTATTTGTCAATATATAAAACGCCTAAACGACCCGTTCTCTATACTTTATACATCGCTTAGCAGAAGAACGCCCCTACGACGATCTATAAAGCCTATTCTAACAGTTCTCTAAGGTCTTTTTTGTAGTAGTGAATTATACTTATAGAACACTTATCATGTTCCTCGTGCCCAATTACATTCATCTTATAAAACGAAACCTCTTATATTTATGGGCATAATTATAAAACGTTGATTATGTATAGTTTCTCACAATGTCATATTTCAATTTATGAACTTAAAAACATTGTTTCTTGGTCTAATAGTTAATATGTAATCATCTTTGCAATTCTAATTAAGCTTTTCAATGATTTGTAATTACGAAAACATAATGAAAATATGCTTCCTTTTAATCACATGAACTCTCATTCACTTATGGAGTGAATAAATATAGTAATTTATGTATCTTCAATACTCACTTAGAGTTCAATACCTAAAATACATTCAAAACCTTTTGTAAATTCTATCTCATGGACTCTATATATAGACGCATTAGTATCGTGGATGCTTTTTAGCAACATACTTTATTAGAATCTAATAGAATTTTCTAGGTCATATACGTATCTTTATATCATTTTTACGTTTTAAAACCTTTATAAATTTAAGGAACTTCAGGTCCATATATATGTGTAAGTATTTCATGTTCAATTTATTCATTATTCTTATAATCCAATTCAACTTCATGTATATAAGTATATAAACAAAATCAATCATACGCAAATTAACATTAACACGTTCACGTTAGTGGAAAACCACATGGTTCATATTCATACTTGAAATATAAAACATAATTCAATACATAAATTATAAATAGTTTCACATGTGCCTTAGGCTTGCTTCGTACAATTTACAAACATTCAAGGTATTAGACATAGGATTTCACAAACAAATTATATGGGTAAATAATTGCTAAATCAAACCATTCATATTTGCTATGAAGCATAGAGAAATAACAAAACTCATTTATGGATAGGAAAAGTAATACCAAAATCTAGGAAATATATGTAATACAAGTTCATGAAAACCATACGTTCATAAAATTAACACTAATAATAATTCTAAATACCCTTTTAGATTCAAACTAAACAAAACTCATAGTCAAAACAAAACTACTAATTAGTTATTTTCTGCATCAAATCCAACTATTCCCAAATTGCTCATTGAACTCTAGGAATAATAAAAATACAAAAATTTGGGAAACAATATAAACATATATATTATGTAAAAGCTTAAAATTAACAATAACATGATAGTTGAGAATGAACTTTCCTGATATCAAAATCTTTCCCACTATAAAAACCAGCCTTATCGTCAAATTCATGTTGTCAACGTTATCTGCTAGCCTGTAACTCATGAAAACGTCAATGAAAAGAAAATAAAGTATAGTAATAATTCAAGATAAACAAACCAATGCAACCGAAAAATAATACGAGAGTTCTTTGTAATTAAATATAGCGGCACTACCATTAACATTCCAAATTATTAATACCGTAAGACTACTTGTACTAGTCCCAAATTAATTAGTGAGGATTGAGAATGATATGACATTCTTGAAACGTGTGATTTCATTATTAAAATATCAAAACCCATGATCAAGATTAATCTCCTTCTAATTTCTTCCTAAGATGTGATACAACAAGATAATAATGAGTATAATTTAGCACATTCAGTATACAACGAATTAATCATTAACCTAAGAAATCAACAATAAAATTTACATATTGATTAGATCTTTGGTGCTGATAACGTGTCGTAAAATTAGGAGAAATATAAAGATTGAGAGGGAATTGAAATGTGTATTCTACTTGTATTTTATAGGAAATTTTGATTTTTACCACCTTCAAATAACGACTTTATTGAATTTACCACCTCCAAAAAAAAGATTTACTTTACCACCTCATAAAAAAATAAAACATCAGTTTTACCACCAATCACCTCCAACTAACGGATTCCGTCCATAAATCCGTTAGTGGGGCCTACCTTACCTTGCACACGTGTCGCCATATTATTGGGTAAGTTTAAAAAAAAAAATTAAAAAAATCCCCATTAATCAACCGGTGTTGCTGCCACTGTCGGGACCCCCACCGCCGACCGGCCACGACCAGCCCCCACCACCTAACCGCTACGACCAGCCCCCACCACCTAACCGCTACGACCAGCCCCACCACCGCACCGCACAACCACAACCACCTTTCCACCAATTTTTATTTATTTTTTTGCTCTGTTTTCTCGAAAGCCACAACAATGGCGTCTCTTCCAATGGAGTTAATCACCTCCATTCTTTTCGATTACCCACTAAATCACTACTTCGCTTCAAATGCGTTTCCAATCAATCAGCAGCACCCATTTAATCAGACTTCATCTCGCTCATTCTCTCTCCTCTGACCGTCGTCTTCTTATCCTCAACCATGGAAGTCACTTGGAATCGACTCCATTGAAGTGGGGTTCTGAGCTTGATTCTAAAAACGATTGACAAGGTTTGATTTACCCAATTCTTTTTCTGGTTTTGAGGTTTCGATTTGTGGGTGTTGTAATGGATTAATTGCTTTGGTTTGTACAAATGTTGATGATAATCGATTTGTATCCCTGTTGTTGGTGATTTGGCTTCTTAGTTTTTGGTAGCCACCAAATCCCGACCACCCATAAATCCCCTTCTAATTCCGACCACCTCCCTAACCCACACACCAAATTCCGGCCCCTCCTTAGTCAAACACGAAATTCCGACCAACCGAGGTAATTGATTTCGTTGCTGGTTGGTTTACACGGAAGATCGGGGAAGATGAAGAAGAAACGTCAAAAAGGTGGGCCCTACTAACGGATTCGTGGACGGAATCCGTTAGTTGGTGGTAAAATCGATTTTTTGGAAATTTTGTTGGTGGTAAAGTAAATCTTTTTTTTTTGGAGGTGGTAAATTCAATTAAGTGGTTATTTGAAGGTGGTAAAAGTCAAAATTTCCTATTATATATATATATATATATATAGTACAATAATTGATAGAGTTTGCTTAGAGAATAATAAACCCTAAGCTCTAGAAAGTTCTAGAGTGATACAAGATGGACATCTACAAATATGTTTAGATAAGAATAAATCATATATCTTGAATATTCCGGAATAATATAAGGAGCATAATGGTCATCCACACGATATTTCATAACAACATTAATAAAGTAAAATTCAAATATAATTAAATAAGGTATAAAATCCGAAAGTCATAAAAATAATTATATATACTCCAATATTTTGGTGTCAATATGAATTCACTATAATACCTTTTTAAATTAAAATAATTAAGAAAATAATTACAAAAGTACAGGGTATTACACCTATTGTGATAGTAGAGAACTGCGTTTTCGTGTGATGAAATATCTATAAAAGCATAATGTCGACAATGTGGATTCAAATAACATAAACAAATTATATAAAAATTATTTATAAATTAACAAGTTACGTGAATATATAGGTTAATGCTAATCAATAAATGTTTAATGAGTAGTTTTCAAAAAAAAAAAAAAAAAAAGATTGATGAGTACTTAATTGGTTAGATTCATGATTAAAAAAGAAAAAAAAAAGTTTGTTGGATTCATATAGAGTTGTTCATGCATGTGTTTGGAATGTTGTATAATTAATAACTATTTCAGAACCAATTATAGTGTAAGTGTCTGATTGTCTACCATATGTATACTATCTCTTGATAGTCTATATATTTTGATTATACTGTTAATGATGGATTGAGATTTTTAATTGTTAGAACTAAATATGAGAATATCTAATATGTTTTGTATGCTAGAAGCTAATGGTTGTGTATTTTTTTTTTATCTTTAATATACAAATATATGCTATGAATAATATCATTGTAAAGTCCTATTATTGTTACACGTAAATAGAGGATTAATAAGTTATAGAAATCTATAGACCTAAAATTTCTAATTTGCCTCTAACCTGCCTCTCACTAATTGCCAACCACTAATAAAGAGTTTCGAGTATTGACAAGAGTTTGGATATCTTTAAAAATGTCGTTTTTTTTAACGGATATGTATACAAATAAAATATGGACTGGAGAAAATACCACGTCGAAAAGGCACACAAGATTTTACAAAACGGATCTTTAAAACTCGTATTGTTATATGGATATTTCAAAAACACTTGATTTTCACTATTCAAAATTATTGATATTCTACACGCCCTACAACTCTACAAGTATCAACATAAATAAGTAAATAACTATACTATATTGCAGTATGATACGTCATTTGAAGTGTCAAAAACTTATTAGGACATGTCCACTGAATGACAATGTCTATATGTGTCCAAGCGTTCATTATACTTTCTAGATGATAATTGCATAGCATCATTTTTATCACATTATAAGGAAGTTTTGGAATTTGGTACCTAATTTTTGGGATGTTGAATTTTGGTAACCGTTTAAAATTTTATTTTATTTTGGTACCCATCAAAGTTAAAAAATATAGCTTTTGGTACTTCCGTCTGTGATCCGTTAAGTTTTCCGTTAGTGGGCCCATTATCTAATTAATTAATAATTTATATTTGTAAAAAAAAAAAAAAAAAAAAAAACACCAAAACCCAGCCACTGCCACCCCTCTCCCATCCCCGTCAGCCACCTTTCCCCCTCCCCTTGCCGGCTGCCGGTGCCCAAACGTTCCCCCGGAGCCGGCGACCTCACTCCCTCCCTTTCCCTCGCCAATCTCCCTCCCCTTTCCCACTCTTGGCTGCCCCGAAACCACCTCTTACCCATTTCCCCCAAATCAATTTTTTAGGGTTTTAGGGTTCAATTTTTTTTCTCTCTCCTCAAATCATACAATTTTCGGTGGTTTTGTAGGTTGTGTGTGATTTCGATGGTTTGCAGGTTGTAATGGGTCGCATTTCGCGTGGTTTTGTATTGGTTTCGACTGCAGCTTTGACGTTCATGGTGGTGGTTTAGGTGGCTTTATGTATTGAAGTGGGCTGCTGTAGGGAATATTTCAAGCGTTACCCCTAGCTAGAACCCCACTGTGATCATACACTAAAGTACGATGGCGTCAAAAGGGAAAGAAGATAGAGCAAAAGAGTCGCCAACAAGTTTTTTAAGGAACTTGTAAACCGTTCACGAGGTGAAGGTTACACCCTTTAACGATCCATGAGATCGTCAACTCCAATAGGTCTTGAATCATGACTGGTAGTTTGGGGATGAAGGTACAAATCCAACCTAAAAGAGATTGAACTTGTCCTAATAATAGGCATCTACTTTATTCTGATCGTATTCATGTGCGCTTTCTGACTAACATGCAATCAATAGGATTAACCCTAAACCTGTTTAATCTATGTTGGTTGAATATTAATGCACAAATAAAACTATTATTGGCGATCACTTGAATTATAATCAAATTAACCCTAACAAGATTATTAATTATCTCATTAAGCGTGATTACAAGTACCAATTCCCTTTAAACAAGCATAAAAGGCGTGATCAAGCAATAACAATAAATATCAAGCAACATAATAATAACAACAACAATAATAATAATTATAATAATAATAATAATAATAAAGCATAATAATAATAATTATAAACAATAATCATGTTAAAGCATAATAGCAAGATCCTAAGTATGATACTAACAAGATTAATAACAAACCCTATCATGTCACTAAACATTGAAAATCAAAGTTTTAACCCTAACATGATACTAACAATCATAAATATTAAGAAGAACATAAAAGGCATCATACTTTTAATCATACTTGATATTAAAGTTACCCTAGACATGATAATAGGAATTTATTGTTGTCACCCTAAACATCACATTAAGGAAAACATCCTAACATGATACTAGGAATCAAAATAACATCCTAAACATGATTTCTATATCATAATATCAATGCAAACAATTAAAGCACTTACTTGGATGCCTCGTACCTCTTTCTAATAACAAAATACACACGTTAGTAACTTCAAGGAAAATAATAAAACCAAAGAATTAAATTAAATAATTAAAAAGAGATTTGGGACCAAACCCTCAGAAATTAAACCTTTCACGTCTAGGGCGAAGGCAACTTCGAATATGGATAGGTGTATCTAAGTCTTGCGAATGCGGAATTTTGTATTTTGAGAAAAGCTAGTTTAGAAAAGAGAGAGAGAGAGTAATCAAGAATTTCTTGATGAGAGTTGGTGAAAAGAGAGAATTCGAAAGAATTAGTGAATGAAAACGGAGTTTTTAGAAGGCTATTTATAGAGAAAATCAGCCAAAAAGATAAAAAATCGAAACAGAGTTCTGGCGCGCAAAACGAGGTTAGCGCCAGACGCTGACATTAGCGCCAGGCGCCAAGCTTAGCGTCAGGCGCTAATGCTGGCGTTTGGCGCTAACTTAATTATTGACGCATTTTCTAAAATCAGATAGAAATTGCCGTACAGGAGGATAAAATCGTATTTTCCTCAAAAACATTCTTATATTCTGATTAAAACTCTAAAAAGTCAATTTATCAATGCTAATTGAATTAGGAATGAAAAGAACCTTCTAGAAGAATGTAGAAGACTAAAACCATTCATAATTGCATTAAGAATGATAAATCCATACTAGACCCTCTTCTAGATCATTGGGCCACATATAAGGCTCAAACCAGGCCCAGTTTAGTAATTAGGTCATAACTTCCTCAATATTCATCGGAATTGGGTTTATAATATATCGTCGGAAAGGTCTTTTCAATCCCTATCCAATTACACTACTATTGGACCCATATCATGGACCAACCAAACTAGATTGACTGTTTTTTTAAAATAGGTTTCCAAAAACAAAGAGAAGAGAAAAGAAATTAAAACTATCCGCAACACTAAACTTTCCACATATTCACTTCATTCGATTATGATTCGACGTGAAAGATACTCATCACTGAGTTTAGTTTTGGGGAGACACAAACGGGTGTCTACAGCTGCAGTTTGTGGCGAGGTGGAGTAGGTGGAGTTGCGGTGTTGCTGCAATAAAGGGGCAGTGACAAGTGGTTGTTGATGTGGTTGTATTTGTGGTTGTTGCGGGTTGTATTTGTGGTTGGAGTCAGTGGTGCGTTTGGAGGTGAAGGGGTGGTTTTCGAAGTCGCCGGTAGCCAAGACAGGGAGGGGGACTAACAGTGTAGTGGTTGAGGAGGAAGAAGGGGGTGGCTGGGAGGTGGCAGGACTTAAATTGGGCCCCACTAACGGAAAATTTAACTAGAAAACAGACGGAAGTACCAAAAGCTATATTTTTTAAGTTTGATGGGTACCAAAATAAAATAAAATTTTAAACAGGTACCAAAATTCAAGACCGCCCCCCGTTTTTGAGGTACCAAATTCCAAAATTTCCTATATAAAATTTATTTTTTCTTATAGAAATTGGGTATAAATGACAAAGTCCATTGTGATACTAGATTTTCAATATATGACAACAAAGCGAAAAATAATTAAGAACCCTCTAACGAATTCAAAATTCTCAATTTCCACCGAGTCTAAAGCATAGTGACTGTCACTTTTGCCACTCTCACAAAATTCCTCATTCAAAGTTTAACATGCAATAATTCTGAAACTACTTATCACATCAATAATTTGACTATTATGTAAGTCATCAAGAGTAATAACAATAGAGTAATATAGCTCTTATTAGACTTGCAGACTTCTTCAACAACCAGCTGCGGCTAGTCAATTTCTGGACACTTGAAAACACAATACTAACTTGACTAATCAAATGCCCTGAGAAAGGTCATGTGGCTATGAAAGATGGCGCTTCTGAGGTGCTCGTAAATAAGAAATACAAGTCATTGCGAATGTTAAAATAAATTAATCTTGCTGCAATTAGTCTTGATACTACAAAAAAAAACCTACTTGCTGCAACTAGTCTTAATACTTCAAAAAAAAAAAAAAAATGATACTTGCAGCCAGTTTTAAGGGGGGGGGGGGAATAAAAATCAGCTTTACAGGGAGAGTAAATATGAATCAATGATAATCAATAATGAAAACCTGACAAGGATGGAGAAATCAGATTCCGAGACTATCCATCTCAAGCGCACAGGCCGATTGGAGGAAAACTGTGTAATCACTCTTTACAGGGTGATATATATTCTTGCACGAAATGGACAGAGCGAATCCTTATCACCTTATACCCTGATAGGACTCAGAAAATGATCTTGAAAGCCATAGGTGCTTTAATTTGACTATCAGAGCAAAGGCTCCAAAGCATGGGATGTGCAACAAACCCACTGCGGCATACCTGTACCACAGAAACATATGTTGATTAGCTCTAACCCAGTAACCCCAACCAATATGATGATGATAAAGAAGAGAAACTCTGTCATCCAATGCCACAAATGAATATTCAGGGCACTGAACAACTGTCAAAAATAAAATTTACTTAATCAAACCAAACTAAAGAAAAGAGCAGGCATCATTGACAATGATGCAATGAAATTCTAAATTTAGGAGATATCCAAGAATCCACTGCTGAGCTTTCAATTCCGCTGCCTTGTTCTTTTCTAGCATAAAACAAGGTAATAATAACTTGCATAAATGGAAGATTCAAAAAAATGATGCTTGCAAACATTTTACTTAAAATACAAGTATACAACAGATAAGGGAAATGCAGTCAGCTTTGCATAAACAAAGAGATAATTGAAGGGCAATAAGGCATTATGATATAGGTGGGAGCTAATTACCATATCGGAGCATATGGAGGTGACAAGTCCATGAATGGATAAGGCCACCTACAAAATGAAGAAATAAGTGATCAGAAGGGTTTTTTTTTTTTTTTTTTTTTTTTTTTTTTTTTTTTTTTTTCACATAAATGAATTGTGAAATACACCAGATAAAGGTAACAACTTACTTGAGGGAAACACAAGCATGGATTATCCATTGAACAACAACAAACACTCCGGTCCACAAGATAAAATAGGCAATCCGGAACATAGGGAACTTCTGAAAGATCAGAATTGGTAATCCAATTAAAGATGGCAACAAATGCATCCAATGTCTCTCAACCCCAAGAAAACAACAAAGCTCTTAATAACAAGGTAGATCTTACCATGCAATTCAAAATTGAGTCCCCAAGAATGAGAACGTTGATAGAATGCAAGCTAACATCAAACTGCATTCAAATTAAGAAAGGCAATCAGAAGACTGGAAAGAGATCCATGAATACATATTACATATCTGCCTTCAATACAATTGCGTTTAAAACTGTGGAACTACGTACATCAGATAATTGGTTAATTAAAATTCCATACAAAGAATACACTGATTTATTTCCTTACGCTCTGCCTACTTTGTGCTCAATTTCACAACCTTACTTCCTCTTGGTTAATAAAATTCCAATAATTGAGTTTGAGAAGAGCAAACTTCCTCAAGTTTTTCCAATCATTCAACATAATTAGTTATCTTAACTTTTTAATGCTCAATTTTGCAATTTACAATTACTAAAGCCTACAGTGTTTCACTAGGTACTTCTATTTGAGAAAAGAAACTCATACTGTCTGTTCATTTTGCTGAAACCCCTCTTCCCCCCCACCCCCCTAGTCCTACATTCATGATTCATCTATGTTAGTACGTTACTTAATCAACCCTTCAAAAGTATTGGACTAATAAAAACATCAATTTTCTCTAACTATACTTATCCATTTTAGACCTAGATATATATGATGAGAAATATCAGATTGTTATTGTAGCATACATCCCCAGAAGGACAGATACATAATTTCAAGACCATGCATGTGGTGCCTGTATCACTGTATGCGACTGCTATGTGAATATACAATTGGCACACCTTTACATATTGCAAAGAATGCAGATATAGACATACAGTAATTAATGAAACAAGATACAGCAGAATCAATAGATTTTGCACTCACAAAAGCAAGCCTATAATCTTTGCCTGTTAGAAATGGGTAAATTAAGAGCCAAAATACAACATCAGTGAGCAGCACAGCACCTGCAGCTACCTGTGTAAAATGTATAAGTGAACAAAAAATTAGCAACGAGCTCCTTATAACTAATGCAGATGCACAATTGTATAGATGCAATCATGCAGATATTTTTTTTGCCCAAAATTGAATACAATAATGTAATCCAATAGTAGAAAAGTCTTCTCCGTATACAACAACCACTATCCAGCACAAATCCCACTTTAAGCAAGGCTTGGGAAGATACAGTTGTACATAGTCTTGCCTAAATAATGTGTATTAGTAGAGAAATCGTTCCCAAAAGAATCACATGAATTTCTTTTCTATAGTAGATAAACAGTTAATGTAAAATACAATATTCTTGGTTGAGGGGGGAAAACTATAAGAAAATGATAAAATAGGAAACTGACTAACCTGGTACATGATTTGGAGAAGATAACCCGTACAACCTGCAACGTGGTGAACATGAACTTCTTGAATAATCAAGCTGTTTAACAAAGATGTGTTCGCACTACCTTCGAGCTTTGGAGCAACATTAGATCCTTGCTCTGCATCAATATTCTGGGAAGCAGCCTTGGACTGACAATCTTCACCACGATCACGCCAGCATCCATAAAGAGAGAATGCAGATGCAAACTATAAAGTCAAATCACAAAACCAACATGTAAACATTGGGAGAAGATCAATGCACCTTGAAAGAAGGGCTAATTGCATTCAGAGATATAATAATAAAGGTAAAGAAACAAGAAATAATCTGCCTAAACAAGAAATAAAGTTTCCTTCAAAATTGTTTCTTATGCAGGATTCATGTTATTTTCTACTGGTAATGTGCTCTTACTGCCGTCAAGGCTAAAGAAACCTTCAGTTTAGGAGTACATAAGAAAGTCTTTATGTGGATTTCTCTTTGCTAATAAGCTTTTTGGAAAGGTACTTGCGGTTGTTAGAGTAGATCATACCCCAAAGTATGTGGTGGTCAGCGTAAAGGTCCATCTGTTCGTAGAGGAAAAAAAAAGAGCAATCAGCAGAAAGTATGAAATTCAATACAAAACAAAAGAAAGTCACAACTCACAAGAACTTACTGAGTATAGTAGAAAAAGATTCCAGGTCCTTTAGCAATAGTGTTGCTAACGATCACTGCCAACAGCACAACAAAAGCAAATAATCTAAAAGCAAGCAGAAAGGCAGGATGAATGCTTTTCAGACATGTTTTCCAAACTTCATCCTTGTATAGAACTCCGACTGGTATAATTCCTCGTTCTCTCCTCTCATTGTCTAATTTCTTTTTGCCTTCATATTTCCATATAAGAAAAGTATTAAACACCGTGATGCCCAAGATATATAAAGCACAAATAAGAAACCTCCAGTTCAACCAATAACTAGGGTCTGTTGTATCAGTAGCCATGGTCTACTTGCCTATTCGTTAACAAGCCTGCATAAGAAGGATCATTACTGTCGTAAGCTCTACATATACTTCATACATCATATCTATTTGCAAATATCTGTTTTAAGACAAGCAGTACAGTTCACGCAAGAACATAACATTACAAGAGATCGATTACAGAATTGGTCCTATATATAGATTTAACTATGGCAACCTGATGGTTAAACCATAGATTAAACTCCTTCCGTCTCAAAATACATGTCATGTAAACAAGACACACGTAGTCCAAATTTGATAGTTAGTGTCACCAACAGTTCAGAAACAGTACAGTCAATGTTCGGCTCTGAGTTGAATTTGTTTGTTAATGAGCCAAACTTGAGCTTAAAATAGTAGTTTGAATGTTTATAGAGCCAAACTCAAACTCTGCATTCAGCCTGAAAGCTCGTGAAATTATATAAATTGTTAAACATATATTTTTAATCCCGAATAATTTCTTAAGCATCATTTTAATACAAAGATAAAAAGATACCAGGACTAAACCCACACGATACTACTATAAAGTCGAGTAACAACATTAGCATGTTTCTGCATCGACTGATGAAACATGCTTAAGCTCAAACTCGGAATATTCTTATCAAGCCAAGCTCGAACATGATTTAAAAGTTTAATCTAGAGTGACAAGTGACAATTCACAAATGACAAAGTTATAGTACATTGGCATTCAAAACAACAAATTAATAAAAATGAAAAGAACAATAAAAACCTCGACCTAATTGTAGCATTTCTTGTGTAATATAGTTGTATGATAAGACAAGAGTTACTTTTTACGATATAAGGGTAACGTTCATGATTAACTAACAAATTTAGAGACGACTATATAAGAAAATTACAGTACATAACACTTGTCTCATACTAGATTTTGCCAATATTGTCAAAAAATAAAAAATTACATACTTCAAACTGTAAAAAAAAAAACAAATAAAAAAAAAATAATTACGCCCCTAAAAATACGAGTAAATGAATATATTCCAAAATTCTACTGTACTCCATAAATAAACTAACCAAAACAGCATTAGAATTAAAAGAAATAACAAATTTCACTACAATCAACCATTTTGAGCAAAAGATGATCAAATTAAATTCTGGGTTCTTGAAAAAAAAAATCATAAAATCTCATATCAAAAAAGAAATCAGTAGACAAAATTAAAAAAAAATTCACAAAAATAATGCTGAAACAAGAAATGAAAAAGTACCTGATTAGATGATTAATCTGAAAACACCAAATAAAAAGTGGGAATTCAGACGATTTGGAGGAGAGAGAAAATCGGAGGAAGATGAACAAGAAAAGTGAAGTGGATTGTTGGCAGTAACAAACAGTCTATCACACATTCACACCCCAAAATTCCCCCGCAATTTTTATTTTTATTTTTGGGGTGATATTTTGGGAGGAAAGAGAGAGAAAAAAGGCAAATGAAAATACGCCAATGAAGGAGCCGTGGGTCGATTTTTGCAGCGTCTAAAAAGTTCACGTAATATCGACTTTTTTTTTGGTTTCACAGAATCTTTGTATAACACGTGGAATTTATCATGAGGTGTAAATTATTGGTGTGCATTAAATAAACTAACATGAGTCTTTATTGTTTATTTTATTGTAAAATACGGTCTAGGTCACCCAACGTGCTTTGAAATCTGCGGTGCGATTTTCGAAAATTATCAATCCGTGATTTGCGGTTTAGTGTGGTCTTCAAAAGAAATTAGACAAAATTGCACTTTGATGCGGTTTAGACCGTCAAACATTCAAACCGCAAAGTGTTAAACCATTTCTAATAACTTATAAATATGATGTAATTTCTGACTACTACATAAATAAAGGTTTTAAAAAAGAGTTTAATATTGGAATTATAAATTAATAATCACAAAATAAAATAAAAGTTTTTTTCTAAAAAAATTATAATTTTTAAACAATGTGGTTAAATCGCAAACCACACTTGCAACAAACTGCAACCCTAATTTAACTCTGGGACACTTATATGTGTGGTTTGGGAAGTTCATACTTCAACATCTATCAAAGAAAGACGTCAATTTTAATTGTATATTTTGCTGATTTTAGTTCGTTTAATCATTTGAGAGAGAGCAAGGTTGAGTAAATACGTCAATTAAATAACTTTGATTGAATTATGGACATTATACAACCAAATACTCATATTTTACAGATAAGTCGAGAATCGATCCCACGACCTCTTAGAATCGAGAGGGAAGCTCTAACCACTTAAGCTATCTCTCACTCTCAACGAGGTTGAGATTGTGAGCATGTGATTAAACATTTTATGTCATATATTTGCTCAAAATCAAGTCCCAAAATCTCAAAATCCAAACCCAAATCCCAAAATCTGAGCCTCAACATCAAGAGTACTAAGCAGAATTTTGAAAGATAGCTACTTCAAAAATTAGCACATCACTCTGAAATCTGAAGGATAAACAACAAAAACACCACTACTTGCATTAGCTTCAAGCCTTCAACAACAGTAGAGGAGGCCGCGGCCCAGCTTTTACTTAGGAGGAGTAATATCTATAGAGCAAGCAATTTAAATAAACTTCTGTATTACTTGTTAATTTCTTTTGTTTTAGAAGTTAATTCACCAACAGTAATTATCATAATTAGTAGTCTTTTTCATTCATTATGTACAAATTGTTGTTTACAAATTACAACCCAGTCTATGCACAAGATATAAGAGAACACTTGCATTGGTATCAGATTTGGTGTAAAAAATTTAATCCCCGCATAATTATTGATTTTGCCGATGCAATCTCTCTGCTATCAGATCAACTGGTAAAGAGCCTAGAGGGCCAGGTGATTCTGCCTCCTCGAACAGGTCATCTCCATAATCTTCAAACTCGTCGTCTTCATCATTGGAGTAATCATTAAATTCTTCATCGTCATTGAAGACCTCATCTTTGGCTTCCAAATTTGATAATTCACCTGCACCTGCATGGACTAGAGCAGGATACGAATGCTCAATTGCTTGTGTCATCCTATCAAATTCCTCCACCCTTTCTAAAAGAGCATCAGGACCCAGATCAGTCTCGTCGAGTAAAACTGCCTTATTTGACTCTATTGCACGTTTCCATAGTGACATCATTCTTGGGCTTGAGATTACAGTTTTAGGTTTGCCTGATTTTCCTGAGCATGAATAGACACAGGAAAATTGGTCAGTAAGTGCATCTGATCTGACAAACACTAGAATACAGCTCAACTATAGATGCCTAGGAAAGATCTCGAAGGACTCTAACTAAACACAGCACTTGGGTGTAATTCATTTTTGTTGCCTTGTTGCCTACTTTGAGGCATCCAACATCTATATTTTAACTTAATAAATCTATGTTACTTGGACACTGATAAGTATGTCAGACATGTGTGTGTGTCCAAGTGTCAGCTAGCTATGTAATGAAAATTACAAAATTACCCTTGTTAATCGTTTAAAATGCAGTGTGAAGTGTCCATACCCATGCTGGAGTGTGAGGATCCGACATGCACACTTGTGGTGATTTGAAAAGTCGATCAACATAAAATACAATCAAAATGATGGTAGTCTTAATCATACATACCTGAAGCACCAGAACCATTTACAGTAGCATCCAGGGTCAGCAAGGCTGTTGGAGTGTCCGGGTACATAGACTTCCAGTCGTGTCCCCTCCACATTAGTATCTGTTCATCATCAAAAGAAAGCAACACACAAGGAACCAACTCCTGTTGCACACACAGGAAGAATGTCACTCTCTGCCACTTTGCAGTTGATTTCATGATTTCATGTTTGCAATACAATATGGCCAAGTTCCGTCTTTTAATAATTGAGGACACATATATAGAGCCAATGATGCATGAAAATAAATCAGATACTGCCTAGTCCAATTCACCAGCTATTAACCATTGTAAAGAGCTAAAGAAATTCAGAGAATCTTACATTTTCAAATTATGAATGCACAGTCAATTAAAGCCAGCCAGCATTATCATTGTTTAGCAATAAAATTACACAGCGAGTAATTGACTAATAGAAGATGTCAGGACCAAAACAAGAAGGAACCTTTCTAAGCCTAAGTGAGTGGATAAAAGGGTTTTGAATAGATATGGCAAAGGTTTAGGTCAATAGAATGCCTATGCATCTATAGCAGGAAAAAAATTGATCATATTTGTAATTGAGAGGGAAACCTGCCTGCCTGATTGCTGTCTCAATGTAAGGTTCATATTTGAAAGCAAGCCTTTTATTTACTTGGACAGTTGAAAAATTTACAAAACAAATGACAACTAAATTGCAAGTTTTGGTTAGAAATTGCATTGACTAATATGTGACACCTGAATAAATATCATCTCTAGGACTTTAGAAAAAGTGGACATTAACAGCGGATTCAAACTGTAGGCATAAGTTTTCATGATCAATCCCTAATTTGAGATAGAAAAGATGGGGTGGGGCATAAGTTTGGCAGTCCAGTCCCAATAGAATCTGACCATGTCCCTTCTGTTGCAGCAACAGCAAAGCTGTGATGTAATCCGTCTATACTAGTATACTACACTTGGTTCATATGAAGATTTTAGCTCCCTTGTGCTCAAAATTTCTTATTTGTAGTTATTGAACAGCAAGTGATACTAAGTTAGCCCTTCAAGTTATAAGTCTGCCTTAATTCTATATTAGAGAACAAAATCCTCTTAGCCTCTCTAAATCAATTAAACACCAGCAGTACTTCCTGCATTACAGCAAAGCTATATGAAAAACTTCAATGCAAAATTGGAAACTTTCAGCACTGCATTGCATAAAAGGAACTAACCCTCCACCAGAAAAGGAATTCACACATTCCATGACTAACAAACATAAACCAAATGGACAGGAGTAACTACAGCAAACCAGAACAAGAGGTGGTATTGAGAGGTAATAAAGAGTTATGAAGAAAACACATACTCCACTGGGAGTTTAGTTACTCTTATCCATTCACTTTAGAGATAGTATAAAAAATGAGACAAGGAAACCGTAGCAATGAAATATAATGTTAACCAGCTTACTAGTGTAAGTGAAATCGTAAATTAAACGTGGCCATACTATAAGGAAGCTGTATACACACCATTAGTTTTGCCCCAATCTTCTTGTAGTCACTGGGTTCTAGTCCTCGGCAATCAACCTTAACAAGTTCACTTCCTTCAAAAGCTTCTCTCACTTCATTGACAAGGTTATTGTAGACTCCATTCTTTGCTGCAGCATAAGAAAGATATTTAGACATGCTACATTACACAAAACAAACTAAGATGATCCAAAGGGGATGGTAAATGAGCTTGGCTAAATGCAACAGGTGAAACTGCTCCCTCTTTTATATTCCGTAGTCCATCCAAACCTTTTGTAATAACTAGATAATAAAAATTAAACTATAAAATTAAAACTGCAGCACTACAACAGGGATTGTTAAAATTTGCAGTCAACACAAAAATTCACCGAATAGCCAAAGTATTTGACACATGAAATATGGGAGTAGACCATATTAAGAACAGCAGAAATCCAGAAAGAATGAGGCAAATATCACTATATCAGTATAAATGAGCTCAAAAAAAAAAAAAAAAAAAAAAAAAAAACACGCCTGAAGCTAAACTAGTTGTTTACCAGACATCATTGTCTAGACAGCAGAACCTGACAATAAAACGAAACTGAACCAAAGGTTGATTTATACATTGCCAGTGGGTGTTCTACATCAAAAAGTAGTGGGTTAAAGTATATTTACAAAGACATTGTAGATTTGTAGAATAGACAAGGACAGGGTAACCACAAATAATCACCATTTTGTATGCAGCAAACCAGGCAGATTAACAATGGGGTCACAGAACCAAGAAAAACAAAAATCATGAAATTATGGCATGAGATATTAAGTGAGCCAAATACATGGACTCAATAGTGGGTACAGGAACGATAAAGAGGTGAAGACTGGAAAGTGAAGAATGAATAAGCTATGTGATGTCGTGTCTCTTTAAGTATCAAGTCCCAAACATCAAAAGTGTCAAGATAAGAAGCAAATTAACTACAAATTAGATCAACAGTATGCAGAATCAAACATTACCTAGTTTACATATTGCCAGAAGGCCTTTTCCTTTTCGTCTAAACTCATCAGCCTCCTTTTTTGTCAAGCCTCCAGGAGCATCTTGAATAAGTTTCGGATAAACTGGGGTAGCTGGCTTCCAAAGCATTAAAGGGTATTGTGGGCGAGTGCGATAGTTATAATTCCGTCCACGAAACAGGTAAACTACACCACCGGCGCGATGTATAATCTTACCCCCTGTTCTTTCCTAACATTTGTTAAGAACAGTCTGAGCATCAAGAAAATAAACTCATCTCAAACTGATTGCTACAGATACCTCGGTAACTATGCAAAAACGAACATCTAGTACAGAGACTATCCAAACTTTGGAATAAACTATTAGAAGATTTAGAACCTTATAGTTATAGACAAAAACTGATCATCTTAAAGTCAACATACTCAACAATCCGGAATGTTGTAAGCTAATCATACAATATCTAACATTGGTAGTATATCATATGCTTATAGACCATAGCCTATCCACTTCATATAAAAATGTAATGGTCTCCATGCCTCCCCCTCTTGTTTGTTCTTTTAAAAGAAGTTCATGCATGTATAATCCCATACTGCTAATCCTGATACTATCAACAGATACAAAAACTATGTACATAAATGTATCATTTCAATTCAGTAGAAGCCTAAATAAGGTATATATGACAGTTAAAGCAGGATACTTTTATGAGGACAAGTTGTTTCCTAACTCAAAAGAGGATAAGGTTGCAATTTTCAGCAGTATGATAAAATTAGAGATAACATGAAAAACATACAAAATCAAAGGATACAATTCATAAACTCAATTTTAATACAATGGATACCCAAGATTGAAGTGGGGACATGGAGTTTCTAAGAACAAACCTCAAGACATTTGCAAACATTATCCATGTCAACAGTTGGGACACCTTTGCATTTCACTTTACAGACTCGCCGTCTCTTCCAATGAGTATGTACCAACTCCAACATATTGTGTGTCAATCCATCTCTTCCTAAAACAAGATTATACTTTAAAGTTTAGACAATTATCCACTGATGAGCAATATTTCAACCAAAACAACACAATAAATCTAGTCTAGCTTACAAATTTTAGAAGTCCCACTAACAGCAACCCAACAGGCATCATACCCATTTCCTGACAAACCCAATTCAAATATACCATATCTTCTCATTCACCACAGAATGCAACATTCTTCTTTACTTCCAACTAAATTATTAACTTAAAATAAAATGGTCCAAACTCTATCATTCTAATTTGATTAACCGTCGAAGATTCCCATACAACTAATTCATCACTAATAAAATCCCATGTACCCCAAAATATAACTCTTTCACCTCCAAAGCTATCATAAATTCAAGAGTAACATCCACCAAAGCTAATTGTTTGATAACCCAGATAAAACTCAGGTAAATCAAGAAATATTCTCATTATTGTAAGAGAAAAGGAAAACAACAAATTCATTATATCATACAAATGCATAATTTAATAACCCACATAAAATTTAAGCAATAATCAGATAAAATCAAAGAAAATGGAGCATAAAATCTTCTGAATTACCAAGATTAACCTGACGATTATCCTTAAGAAGAGGTTGAACAAGAGCTTTTTTCTCAGCCCTAGACAAGGGTTCCCCAATAATCTCATTTCTACTCATCACTTCCTTAGGAAAATCCCCAAATTTATAAGGACCGGGCATATCAACTCTCTTAACACCCTTCATCCCAGGAGGAGGAGGATTAAAAGAATCAAACAAAGGAATCTTCTTCTTCAATAATTTCTCAGCTTTTGATTTCAATGGCGCTTTACCAGTCCAAGGGCGCGGCATTGATGGTGGAGCAAATGGCAAAAAAGGCGGTTCTCTAATCGCCAAAGGTTTCGCCTTTGGGGTTTCGGAATAGCTGAATTTGTACTCAAATGGAGCTCCGGGAAGATGGTAAGAAACCCCGGAATCCCCAATTACAACAGCTCTATCAATACCATTGTCATCATCAATGTTTTCGGTATCGGTATCGAGTTCGGGGGAAGGAGGGGGGAGGATTATTGGGGTGGGGGATGAAATGGGTTTGAAGAATTTGGTTTTGTTGTGGGGGATTTTGGTGAAAGCAGGGTGATTTTTGGGTTTTGATTGGGTTTTTGGGAAATGGGGTTTTTGCTTTGGAGGATATTTTGAGATTGAAATTGGTGGGGAGAATGATGGCGGTGGTTGTGCAGTGGTTGGTGCGGTGGTTGGAAGAGGGGAGAAAGGGTTGTGGTTGGGAAGTGAAGCTAAGATTGCCATTGAAGAATGAAGATAGAAGTGGTTTGTTTGCTACTGAGGATATTTTTAGCGCCTTTTTTGTGGACTTGGGTAAGAGGAAAGTGGTTTATAAGTTTTGGGGTTTGTAATGTAATAATGTTGGGCTATTGTCCTAAACTTTTGGGTTTTTTTTGTCCCCTTTATTTTGAATTGGGGAGATTCTAGAATTGTGTTTACGGTTTCTTATGGCGATTCATGCTAGCCAACCGTTTGTTGTAGTTGTTACTTTTGTTGTCTTACTATAATCTTGGAATCTCGCATTGGTAAACTAGACATATTGAAAGTAGGGGGAGGATAATATGGATTTTCAAACCTCAATGGTCTAATTGGGATTGAACTTGCATTCTAAAGGTTAGACAGTATGATCTTTACTACAGGTATTAGTAATCGGGCGTTATGATACCTTTCGGTACATGATGTGTATGGGATTATTTAATATACTTGGTGACTTTTTCGGGTATATTATTTGAGTAATTTGTGTTCGCTAAGGAGGTTTGTGGTGCATTGAACCTATCATATAACTATAAACCATGCATAGTGTTTCTTTGTTTGTTTATATATTATCTCTCTTGTTAGATACATTTGTGGTCAGTGATAAAGTTGATTGCAAACTAACAAAGCTACAATGCTAGTAGATCTGTAGATGCAATTGTTTGTAAAAAAAAGGCCAAACTTGATCTAGTAAAAGGAGAGCATCTTTGAACCATGAGGTTGGAGGTTTTAATCCCACTAGTTAGAGACAATTTGAGGGAAGGAGGTTCCCTTACATTCCCTCACTCTCTTAAATTGTCTAGTCCGCCAACTTAGACCGAGTTGACCAGTGAGGGATGGAGAATTGACTCGGTTTTTTTTAATCTTATATACCAAAAAGGTGACAAAATAATGAGAAAAGAACAAATGATGTGACCAGAAAATACATAAACATCCAAAAAATTGTCTCACACGAGATGCACGTGCAACAATAGACTTGGTTTTGCCTAGCAAAAATTGTAGGTAGTTGAAAATTAAATTTGGGGTACATTTCAAAAATAGATAATAGGAAGAAACAGAACGAAAAAGAGTAAAAATAGAAGGTAAAAAAAACAACTTGGGCGAATGGCTAATACCAGTAATATATAAACTTCTTGCAATTTCTTCATTCATAAAAAAAAAAAAAAAAAGCAAAAAAAAAAGAGCTAACTTGCAAAACTATCTCCAAATTTAATTAATTAAACCAAAAATTTAAGAACAAAAGCAAAAGTGTTTGTATCCGTGTCGTCATCATATTATCAACACTTTGACACCACCACATATTTTGCACCACAAAATTTTATATGTGGCTGGCCACACGGTGTGGCTAGCCACTATAGAGGTTACTTCGCTAGTGTAATGAGGGTTACTTGATCGGTGTTAAAGGGATCAACAGAACATGCAATGGATACTAAATATACAATCACCTTTTGCAAAGAGATGGAGAATGACGACCTACAATAGTCCACGACAACCTAACATCTAATTGAATATACGAACCTTATTATTATTCTCTTCTTTTCGTTGTCTTTCGCCACATTTCCAGCCAACTACAGAATTTGTTCATTCACCAATACTCAAGATGGCGTTACTGATTTAGGGCTTAATTACGTGGATTTAAAAAGGCCCAAGCTCTTCAAATACCTCATAGGGAAAAATGATATGCAAGTATTGTTTGTTAATAACAACCTAAACAAGTTATCGACATTATATAATCATTGTTCAATTGCATATGCTTCAATGCTCCATAAAAAATGCTAAAAGATCTTAGTAGTTCTCCTAACCCAAAGACCCTACACTCCGAAGATGAGACCCTATTCATTGATAAAAAGACCCTACTCTTAGTCAAGGTAACCGTACTCTCATGAAGGCCCTGTTTGGTTTGATGTAAAAGGTTTTCATGGAAAATGAATTTTCCATTTTTCCCCATTTTCCTTTGTTTGTTTTGTTAAGGGGTGGAAAACAATTTTTCCAAGGGTGGAAAATTCCATCCTTAATGATGGAAAACATTTTCCTTCCCAAAACAAGGGAAGCTACATTTTCCTTTCTCCTCCTTACCTCTTTTTTTACTTCCCTCTCATTCATCTTTACATTTCCACTCTTATTTTTTATTTTTCTTGTATGCAACCAAACAAAGGAAAACTAATTTGCAATTGTGTTTTTCCTTGAAAATATGTTTTCCATGAAAACCAATTTTCAATTGAAAATGTTTTACATTAAACCAAACGGGGCCGAAATGAGACTCAGATTTTCAAGAATATGGGGATGATTTGGTATAGCTTGTTTATGGTTGGAAAAATAGGTATTTTGTTCGTCATAGCCGTTGCATTAGCCACTTGCTCTTGAGGATTCCGAACTGAAAATCTCTTGATGAGAAACTGTAGGCCAAATGTATTTCCAATAATGTGTGGTTGTTGCACCCGGTTGCACTTCCAACCAATGTTGGTCTATTAAAATTCACAACTAGACCAATTCTCTTCCTTTTGTTGTCGATCTTTTGCCGCGTTTCCAACCAACTACAGAGCTTGTTCATTCACCAATACTCAAAATGGCCTAACTGGTTTAAGGCTTATTTACGTGGATTTAAAAATCTCTAAGTTTTTCAAATACCTCATAAGGCAAAATAATGAGAAAAGAACAAATTATGTGTCCACAAAATACTAGTCCAAAAAATTGTCTCACGTGAGATGCACGTGCAATGATAGACTTGTTTTTTCCTAGCAAAAGTTGTAGGTGGTTGGGAATTAAATTTGGGGTAAATTTCAAAAATAGATAATAGAAAGAAACACAAAGAACAAGACATAAAACAAGGTAAAAATAGAAGGTTAAAAATCAGCATGTTTTAAGTTTTCAACTCATTCATAGACTATGGTCAATTATGCAGGCATAACCGTATAAGTATAATATTTCTTTGTTCCATGTAAAGACAAATCCTAAGATACCTCCTTTCTATTTTTGTACACATTTCTAGAAACTTCATCCCCCACTAAAAAAGGTAAAAAATCATCTCACTAAACCCTAATTTAGAAATAATGACACAAAGATATAGGAGGCAGAAAACAACACTTAACAAAATAAGACATTGGTCCCATTTTTCCTTTAATTTCCTACCATCAAACCAACAACATTTTGGAAATCTCTCTTTTTTATGTGATGCCTACCAAGTGTGTGTCAATGTTTGGAAGTAAGTGTGTGACTTGAATTCAATGCATTTATCAGAACTCTAAGTGAGGTCAAAATTCCCATTTCGAGAGTACGTGTACTTGCTTTTCAATCTAAACAAGACTTCCAAAAATTTATGTGTTAGTTGAGTAAGAAATCTATGAATATAATGAAGTTCTCCAATAATTTGGTGTAATGGTTAGGAATGCAAGGCCGATCATTAATGTTACCTATGATGATTATTTATAATAATTCTAGAAAAATTATATATTTTGATGAGTAACAATATAATCTTACGCACGGATCTAGATTTCTTGAAATAGATCCTCCCCTCCTCCTTTTTCATAAGTCATTCAAGTATACTGTTATCCCCTCTTTTTAGAGGGTTTGTACCTAGGTTTAATGTTCAAATGTTCAATGACATATATAATAACTAATTTGCTAGTATAGCTTGGTATTTTACATGTCAAAGACTAATCGACTAGAGTCATTTCTTCATTAATAGGATAAGTTTTTGCTTGTTGAATGTGGAACATTGATCAACCACTATCACTGCGAGTCTATTTTGGACATTCAGATCAGGGACATACAATCATATTAAATAAGGCACATTTATGTATCAATATATGTACCAATTAAATTTACGATGCTAGTGATTAAACTAGCTAGAGTATAAAAGGCCTCTCAAATAATCGATTGAGATTTTTGTGGTTATTTGTGGTTCAAAGAAGTGTATGTGTATGTACATGTCCAAATGATGAAAGGATGACAATTCGATTATCCTAATACAAAGTATAACCATCAATTAATAATCCGCTCCTCTTATTAATTACATCAACTAACCAAAAGGAAAGTTAGATTGCCTATAGATACAATCTAACAAAAATTTGATAAAAGCTACCATATACATATAAGAATTATCACTAACAATTCACTGTCCTCCCTAGCTAAATTCTAAAAACACAAATTTTGGTCATATAATAAATATTATGAAGGATTCATTTATATCCTAGGAATAAATTAAATTAATATGCATTATTAATTAGCTACATATATACTGTTATGTTATAAGTCTTATAACACATGACTCACTTAAATGAAGTCTGTTGTTTTTTCTATATATATTATGCATATACTTGCTCCTACTCTTAGAACCCTAAAAACCTACAATTGCACAATTACATCCAACCCCATTTTCTCTCTCTAAATTCTTGGCCTTCATCAAGAATAATGGCAACACTTAATCGTTTATTTGATACTCAAGAACAAATTTGCTACGTCCAATGCAGTTTTTGTACCACCATCTTACTGGTAATCTTATGTTTTAATAATGTTACTATGTACCAATCTTTTTGTATACATGCGTGATTAATTACTCCCTCTATCTATCCTGAATAAAGATATTGTGACGTCTGTTGATAGAATAATTTGAACTACCAATGTAACAATGTACTCAACCTGATTATCAGGTCCGGATTAGTTTGTATATCTGTGTTTTAATTATTATTTTTTTCTTTTTTATCGTTTTGTGAAGGTGAGTGTGCCATATAGTAGTATGACAATGGTGGTGACAGTGAGATGTGGTCATTGCACTGGTCTTCTCTCAGTCAGCATGTTGAAAGCCTCCTTTGTTCCCCTCCATCTTTTTTCTGCCCTTAACCAAGATCAGGTAATACTAATTAAGTTTACATGATTAATTCTTCCCATATAGTTATCTTAATAACCACATTTTTAATGTTTTTACCTTTTTATTTACCATTCTTATATAATTTAATCTACTTTTATTTCCTTTTGTCATAAATAACAATGGAAATTTGTCCTTCCTAAAAGGAATCATAAAATGTACATCATTTAATAATTATTAGCAATATATATTATGAAATACAATACTACTGAATTAACCTGATATCTTGGATATTTTGTTATTAAGGAACCTCAACTATATTTGTACACAATAAAATTATGAATAATTGTAATCTAAAGTTTATTTTGGACAATTTAACCTAGCTTAGTGAACTTAACTATTAATTTAGAAATGCTCTTGTTTTATTTATATATAGAAAAAGTTTATACATATCATGATTTAATTTTACATAGGTGAATTTTAAGCATCAAGAGGAAGTGGATACATCAAAGGCGCATATGGACAGGCATAGTACTAC